TTGGCACTGTTGTTGTTATTGTTGATGCTGTTGTTGTTGATGTTGTTGTTGGTGTTGTTGATGTTGTTGTTAGATGAGTTATTTATAACTCGAAATAGCTATTTGCAAATTTATTTAATAAAAAATTTTTAAAAAACAATAAAATGTCTAATTTCTCTGAAATTAATAAATTAAAAAGAAATATATAACAATGTTGAAAGTAGTGTTGAATTTTTGAAATATATATATATATATATATATATATATATATATATATATAATTAATAAATTAAAAAGAAATATAAAAAAAGTTGAACAATGTTGAAAGTAGTGTTGAATTTTTGAAATATATATATATATATCTGCAATACAAAGTTAGATAAAAAAAAATAAACATATTTTGTTCCCATTATCTTCATAAAATTTAGATATTATATTATTTCCAGAATTGATTTGTGATGTATTGATTTATCTTTATTTAGGGAACTATGAAGGTTGGAGGAGTTGATAGAATGACAGATACAACTCTATACACCGGAGCTCATAAGGAAAGGTTTGATGAAGAAGGCAAAGGAAAGGGACTTGCTGGACGTTCTGATGTTGTTGACAACACTGGCTATGTAGGAGGTTATAAGAATAAAGACACTTATGACAAAAAAGAAAAATAATTTGAAACTAAAGGTCTAACAAAAAAAAGAAATCTTCCATCATTAATATATTTAATTTGGCAAGATCATGCTTTTCACCAACTTTTTGAATAAATTATTATGTAGATTAGTAGAATTTTTGCTATTGTATATGGTTTTTCATGTTTTTCCATAAATTAACAGTGGTTACAGATATATGAAATTTTAAGATATTTTAATATACCCATCATACAAAATATTGGTGTTTATTTTAAAAAGTGTTAATAATAGGATGTTATTTAAATTTATCGTCAAGAAAACAGGACTTAATTTTAACATTACAAATTATCTGATGACCCTGCTTTATGGCAAGTAAATAATGAGACGCGCGATTCTGTGGCCAAATATGGCTTCAAGCGAAATGAAAATATGGACTTTAGTGAATCCAAAAAGGAGTACAGTGATGGCAAAATACGCAGCCTCACACAAAGTATGTTTGACTATACTCTTATTAACGGAGAAAAAATGTCGCCAGAATGGCTTGTTTATTTAGAAAGCACTGGAGCTGTATTTTGTGGAATTTGTGTTTTGTTTTTAAAGAAATCGAATGTACAAACAAAATTAACATCAAAAGGTTTTAATGATTGGAAGAATGCTTATAATGCGTTGAAAGAACATGAAAATTCATTATCTCATAGAGACTGCGTACATGCCTGCAAAACGAGAGGTCGTGCTATAGGTCAAATAAACTTGCAGTTAAATGATCAATTGGAAACTGAGATAAATTAATGGAAATCGACTCTTGTTCGCGTGGTAAAAGTTGTAAAGACATTGGTTTCAAGAGGACTACTTTTGCGTGGACACGTTGAAAATTTTGGAAATTCTGAAAGTGGGAACTACATGATGCTGCTTGAACTTATTGCTAAATTTGATTCTTTTATGGCGCATCGTATAGAAAGATTTGGCAAATGTGGCAAAGGTAATACATCTTATCTGTCATCAACAACTGTAGAAGAGTTAGTAGCAATATTGGCAAATGTTGTACAAGACGAACTCGTCTACCAAATCAAAAAAAGCAAATATTTTTCAATAATTGTTGATTCAACGCCTGACATAGCAAAAGTTGATCAACTTTCCGTTGTAATCAGATATGTTCAAAAAAGCGGAACGCCTTACGAAATGTTTTTAGCGTTTCTACCAAACACTGGCCACAAATCGCAAGAACTATTTAACGCTGTAATTTGTTTTTTACAATCACACAACCTGGATCTTCAAAACTGTCGCGGACAATCTTACGACAACGCTCCAAACATGGCTGGCAAGTATTCAGGACTTCAGGCGCGAATCAAGGAAGTCAATCATCAAGTTTCATTTATACCATGCTCAGCTCACTCACTTAACCTTGTTGGCACAAATGCAGCTGAATCCTGTGCAGAAGCTTGCAATTTTTTTTGGTTGATCCAACGTGTTTACAACTTTTTCAGTGCTTCTACTGCCAGGTGGGTAGTTCTCCAAAACCACACAGCAGAAATCTAGTTCACTTAATTTGAAAAGTCTCTCCACTACCCGGTGGTCTGCTCGCGACAACGCAGTTAGAGCATTGAAATATAGATGGAATCAGGTTATTGAATCATTACAATTTTTAGAAAAGGATTTAAACCAGAAACTCGTGCTGAGGTTAGAAGAATTATTTCTAATTTGAGTTTACTTGAAACTGGAATTATGGTAAAATTGTGGGGTTTTGTTTTAGAATGTCTGAACAAGTCTAACGTCAAACTTCAAAAAGTAGACATTGTAATCGAAATTTACGACTCACTTTTAACGTTGTTCGAATCATTCAGAGAAAGATTTGAAGATAATGAAAAAAAAGGAGAGGATAATGAAAAAAAAGGAAAAGTCCTGTCTTTAGTTGATGACTACAAGGTACCGCCATTAAGAAAACGGAAGCGGCATTACGACGAATCAGTTGACAATGAAACAGAATTTACCACTCGAGAAAATTTTCGTGTAAACATATTTTCGGTAATTGTGGATAACTTAAATTCTAAAATGAACAAGAGACGAAACGCTCAGAGGTGGACATGGGTTGGGTTAACCCATGGGTTGGGTTGGGTCCAAATTTTTTAAAGTTGTGTGGGTTGGGTTGGGTTGAAATTTTCAAATTTTATTATAAATAATTTATTTCTGTATTTTTTTTATTCTTAAACGAACATTTTAACTAGTTAATAATCGGTGTATTTTATATCGCTGTAATATCATCGTATCTTTGGTCTATCGTTTCCACTTTCTTTTTGTGATTATTGAGTTGAGCAAAAGTTAACTTCTTTCCGATCGAGAAAATTAGTTTTATTTACAAGTATGGCAGAATCAGAAGAAATTCAGCGTCATTTGAGAGGTTTGTGTGATTTAAATTTGCTAAGTTTGCGAAAGTAAAAAATCTAATAAATTTCACATTAACATTTTTACATTTTTTATGTTTTAATTCCTTTTTTAAAGATTTAATTGTTATTTTTCATAATTTCAAATCTCTTCAGTCTTTACAGTTACACTTTACAGACATCAGAATTTTTTCTCAATTGCTCATTTTACTTATTTACCTGATATTCATGTTTCATTTTCTTTCTTTTTTCTACCTAGAAATGGTTTATTTTTCAAATTTTAGTTGGGCGCTGTTGAAGTTTAGAAATCCCATTCATTAGATAAATTTAATTGATTGATTGAACATACTTAAGTATTTAAATATTTATTCTTTCCAGAAAAAACAGGGTGGTATATATTAAAAGCACCCACAAATTTAAAATCAGAAATTTCACATGGTTTTTCAAAAAAAGGAAAATGATGAAAGCGAAATTCCTGTGAATTACTATTGTGCTTGTATTAAGTGCAATAAGGTATATCAGTTTAAAGATTCATCAGGTAAAAACTTTGGCACTAAAAATCAGCAAGAACATATTAAACATTGTGCTGTAGTCTTGCCAAAGTCACAGTTGAAAATCCAGCAATGCTTGAAACGAAAAATTCAACTGTCTCCTCAAGAATTAATGATGTTGAAGCATAGACAGATCTTTTTCTGTGTTGATGGTTACCACTCATTCAAATATGTTGAAAATAAAGGGCTTCTCAATTTGATGCAGAGCTGTGTTGAGTTAGGTGCCAAATATGGAAAGTTTGATGTTTCTGACGTTGTTGTGGGAAAATATTAGTAACATTTAATTTTTAATTAATTTTCATGTTATTTTATTACACTTGCAGTGTGATTACTTCACCAGTGTGTTTTATAACACATATGATCTTGTATTTTTGAGTTCTGCTTTTTAAATATCATTTGTAAAAATTTGCCTGTTTGGTAAAATTGCGACTTGTGCAGATGGGTCGTGGGTTGGGTCGGGTTGGGTTGAAAAGTTGCATTTTCAGGCGGGTTGGGTTGGGATAGGTTGAGTTAAGTGATGGGTTGGGTTGGGTCAGTAAAAATGGACCCATGTCCACCTCTGGAAACGCTTACGCAGAAATTAATGAAAATTTCAAAGCAATTGTACAGTTCGAAACATTGTCAATAGGTGAGTTAGAGATTGCAGCGGATGGATTAAGATCTTTATTTCCAAACGATCTAGACGACACCTTAAATACTGAACTGTTGCATTTAAAGTCTCATTTGGCTGCCTTAGACCAAAATGCAGTTCCACACACTCCAATTGATTTGTGTAAATGGATAAGATTGAATGACTTGCAGTGTGTATATCCAAATGTAGACATTGCACTTCGGATGTACACTTTTACTCCTGCTACAAACTATTCGGCCGAGCGATCTTTTTCTTGTTTAAGGCGCGTTAAAAACTATTTGCGTTCGACAATGTCCGAAGAAAGGTTTAATTATCTATGCATCGAAAAAACAATTTTGCAAGATTTAGACATTAATTTCGTTATTGATGAATTTACGCGCAGAAAGGCACGTCGTAAAGTTTTGAAATAACTTTTATAAACTGCAATGAAAAAAAATTGATAATATTACATTACATGAATATTACTAAAGAATGTACTTAATAAAAATGTTTTAAAAATATTGCGTTTATATGAATTTAATTTCTAAATTTATTATAAAATTTAAAATTGGGGCGGCAAACCACGAGTGCCTCTACGCGGCAAAAAGGTTAATCCGCCACTGAAAATAATATAGAACATTTAATAATCAATACAAACCATACGAAGTTAATAAATCTAGCATGAATGTGATGATTCCAAGGATTTTTTAATCACTGAAAATGGAGATTTAAAATTAAGCTACAAATCGACAATCCAAATTGGAGTAGTGACTAATCACGTCAAAAAATGACTAAATTGAGCATCTTTTCCGTAAATATAAAATTGATTGATTGATTAATTTGATTGATAGATTGATTGATAGATAGATAGATAGATTGATTGATTAATTGATTGAAATGGGGAATATGTATTGACGAGACCAGAAGGAAAGACCGCAAAAACTCGACAGGCACGGAAGTTTCTAATACAACATTGAAAGTTCAATCAATCAATCAATCAATTAGCTTATAAAGCGCTATTTCCGCGATGTTCAACAGCGCTCCTCAATGAATTTTGAAAACAGATGGGTCTTGAGATTCGCTCCGAACATCGCAAGTGATGGAGAAGTAGTCAGAGAAGTAGGTAGAGAGTTCCAGAGAAAAGGACCAGAAAAAGCAAAAGCAGATTTGGCAAAAGAGTGTTTAACATAAGTTAAGAAAAAGCGAGAAAAAGAAGACGATCGTAAACCGGGGCGTTTAGGTTCAATTAATATATCTGATAAATACTTAGGAAATAATTTAGATTGAGACTTATACATGAACGTGCAAATTTAAAAAATTATTCTATATTTTATAGGTAGCCAGTGCAAGAGAACAAGATATGGAGATATATGAGAAAAGAAAGGGGCACGAGCAACTAGACGAGCAACAGAGTTAAAAGCTTTACTTAAAGGATAGAGTATAGAGTCAGAAAGACCATAGTAGAGCGAGTTACAATAATCAATCCTAGATAAGACTAACGAAGTAACAAGAAAGAGAAGAGTAGGATCATCAAGAAATGGCAAAAGTTTTTTTATTCTACGTAAATGAAAGTAAGAGCTTCTAGCAACACAATTAATCTGAGAAGAGAGAGACATGGTAGAATCAAAGATAAAACCTAGACTACGAAACTTATGAGAGACATCAAGAGTTTTAGAATCAGGTAAGATAATTGGAGGAATAGTAATAAAGTGTTTAAATTTATTAAAACAAATTAATTAAAACTTAGAAGGATTAAGTTTAAGACACATAGAGTCAGACCAAGCGATAATTGAAGAAAGATAGAGATAAATTATGAAGAACACTATTGAGATTAGATGGAAGAAAAGGATATAAATGTAAGAATCATCAGCATATAGTTGACTAGTGAAAGAAAAGTTATTAATATTACGAGGTAGTTCAGAAGTATAGAGTATAAATAGAAGAGGGCCAAGGATAGAACCCTGAGGTACCCCGAAAGTAAGAGTAGAAGAATTAGAAGTAGAATTATTGAGAACAACAGAAGAAAAACAATTAAAGAGATAAGAAGAAAACCAAGATAGACAAAGAATCAGTAATATTAAAAGAAAGATGCAGCAGTCTCAAGATAATAGTATGGTCAACAGTATCAAAAGCTGAGGAAAAGTCAAGAGCAAGAAGAAGAGTAAGATTACTATTGTCACTAGAGAGAAGGATATCATTGTGTATTTTAAGTAAAGAAGTTTCAGTACTGTGAGCAGGTCTGAAACCAGATTGAGATACAGGTAGCAAACAGTTAAAGTCTAAATAGGATGACAGTTGATTAAAAACAACTTTTTCTATTATTTTAGAGATGAAAGTAATATTAGTTACAGGTCTATAATTAGATAAAGAGGTAGGATCTAGGGATGAGTTTTTAAGAATAGGAATAACAATAGAATTCTTATAAGAAGTAGGAAATTTAGAGGTGGAAAGAGATAAATTAACTAATTTGAGAATGATTGGATAAAATATTGAAGAAAATTCTTTAAGTAAATTAGAAGGAAGTAGATCTAGAGAACAGGTTGTAGACGACATAGAATTAATAATTTTAGTTAGTTCTAAAAGATTTATTGGAGTAAATACAGAAAAAGATTCAGATTCAGTAGTAAGTTTAGTAAAGTTATGAGAAAAAAAAATTAGAATTAGATGTTTTTAAAGAAGTAATTTTATTTACAAAAAAGTCATGAAACTGTTGAGCAGAAAAAGAGTGAGAAGATTTTTTATGTAGAAGTTTAGATAGAACAGACAACCTATTTTTAGATGTTGAAGCAGATGTTATAGAATTTCCAAGAAAAGTAGAGTGTTTAGAGAATAGTAGATATTAATAATTAATCAATTCAGATTCATAGATGGAATAAAGAGAGTTAGATGGATTTAACCTATAGGCTTTCTCCAGTCTTCTAAGACTTTTCTTGGCTACTACTCAAGCATAATCAAACCAAGGAGCCTTACGAGAATAGAGCCTATAAGTAAAAGATTTAAGAGGAATAAGCTTGTCAAGAATAGAAGTAATGTAGATATTAAAAGCACAGACAAAATCGTCAACATCAGAAAATAAGGTAGTATCAAAAATAGTTTTAGTAAGAGATTGAAGAAAAATATCTTTATTAAGAGAAGACCAGCATCTTTTAGAAATAGACATAGATGAATTTGAAGGAAGAAAATCTAATGAAAAAACAGATTCAATAAGAAGGTGATCAGAATAAGGAACAGAGCTAGCAGAGATATTAATAGACTTAGAAAAAGATGAAGCTATAATAAAATCAATAGTGTTACCAGAAGTATGGGTAGGAAAAGAACAATATTGTGTTAAGTTAAAAAGAGACAAAATATCATTAAATCTACGAGTGTAAGAACATGATAAATTATTGAAGTGCAAGTTGAAATCACCAGAGATGTAGAAAGGAATAGAAAAAAAGTAGAGAGATTCAGCGAGTGAGTAGAATTCATCTAAAAATATAAAGTGAGAGAAGAAGGAGGGCGATAGATTACAGCAATATAAAAAGATAGAGAAGAAGACTTAAGAGATACAGCAAGACATTCAAAAGAAGAAAAATGAAAGGAAGTATTAATGGAAGCAGTAAATAGAGATTTATAAAACAGACAGATACCCCCATAAGAAGAATGAGAAGATGATAGAAGATTTTTTGGAGGTCTAGAGAGTTCAAGGAAGCTGTAACCACCAGGAGTAGCAAGAATAAGAGAGGGAGAGTTAGAGTCCTCGTGCCAAGTTTCAGTAAGAATAAAAAATTCAGATAAGGAGGAAGAGATTATTTGATGGATATAGAGCGAATTTTTATTAATTGATCTTATGTTAATATAAACAGTGAAAATGTGGAGGTAGGTTGGAAATTGGTACTTTTAAATCTAGTTGTATTATTCAAACTAATAGAATTAGAATTATTATTCTTATCATTAGTATTAATTTGGTATTTAATATAATTATTATTATTCTTATTATACTTGCTATTAGCATTATTATTATTAATATAATTATGGTTACTAACTATATTTATTTTTTGTTAGAGTTAGATTTATTATTTTTATTGTTATTATTAGACCTAAGATTAAAGTAAAAAATTCGCCGCCGAACTACTCTCGTCGGAGACAAAGGAGTGTTAGAGAGGCTTAAGAGAAAGTCTCTAGAGTAAGACATAATAATATTTACAAGTTAAAGAAAAAGATGTAGAAAGATATAGAAAAAAAATAGTCATAGTAAAAAAGAAGAGAACTCACTTGTTCAGAAGCAAAAAACAAGAATCCACCCAAATTACAAAACCACCGAGAAAACGTGCCGCCATCACGCTAAACGTAATCTAAAGAATATTATTAAGTTAATTAATATCTTACAATGTAGAGATCGTATCGAGCTTTTCCAAATAAACAATCATTACATCGAGTAGATTATGCCTACCTAGACCTACTCGAAAAATGTATACTGATTCGCAGTGTTTTTTGTTATGGTACGCACCGGTACGGCGTACGGACACCTTTTTCGATGTGGGGATAAAGTTATTACGTTTAACATTTTAAGTTAATTATAAAATAAAATTGTTTTAAACATTTAGTATCTTTGCAGTTGTAATTTAGCTTTTATGGGGCCCGCCCGTCAAACCTTGGTCAACATTAAAACGTATCGAAACCTTTTCAAAAATTCCCCCCGTTAAAAATGTTCAAAATTTAGGCTTGATCCGCCACTGAATACTGGATACTAAATATCCTTTTTTTTACAAAAAAGCTCTGCTGATTCGAACGTCAAAATTTTGTCAAATCCATGGTCAAATCTTTCTAATATTTGTAGTTATCAACATAGAAACATAATTATTTGATAAGAGGCCGTCCATAAAGGATGTCACGCTTCAAGGAGGGACACTTTGAGACGAGGGGGTGGGGAAGTAAACGCAAGTATGACGTCCCTTTTTTAAATAAACAAAACAATAAATAAATTTTTTTTCATATATATGCGCATAAATGAATATTAAAGTTTTCAAGCGAGCAAATAACTCATGAATATTTATTAAAGGAAGAGTCAAATTTAAATGCCATCATTAAAGTTTACCGCTGTGTAGGTGTAGAAGTTAATATTAATTCGTTATATTTTATCTACAGTAAAGCATTTAGATATCAAGCTAACGTCATATAAACTTGTCATTCGTTATTTTGATATTAATAAAAAATAAAATGCATAGAACAATTATTTTGTTTAATGACTCTTCACTAAGAGAGGTTGGGGTAGAGTTTTGTGACATGCTTGTCTTTGGTGGGTTGGTAGATTTGTGACAGTTGTGATACGAGAGGTCAAAAAAACGTTAAAAAAGCGTGACATCCTTTATCGACAGCCCCTAACATACTTCAAGTACTATACAATAATTTTGGGGAGTTTATGTCTAATTGATACTATAGGTTCATCATTGCCTATATATAAAATATTTCAGATTTTCAAATCTTCCTAAAACTTCCAGTTCAACTGGCATTTTCTTGGTTTACCAAAAGTCATAAGCGCATGAAAAAGCATTAGTATTATTAGTATTATTTATTGCTTTAAAGGTAGAGGCGAATATAAATTTTGTAAAAAAAATACTTTGGCTGACAATATTAAACAACAATAAAATACCATAAAACAACATCGTAGAGCAAATTTGAAACTTAGCATGTGTTTGACTGGTCGCTTGGCTTTTCCTTGACTTGATTTGTGTCGCAAATATTAATTTATAATTTTCGGCTAATGCAATTACTGAATTGTAAACTCAACCAATCAAGAATCAAATGGCTTCACAGCGAATAGTACTTGAAGGTAACTCTCGACCTCGATACTGTGTTTTGCTGATAACTTTTGTTATATTTTTTCTATTCAAGAAGTTCTTGTATTAGACTGAAATTCACAATATGGTTAGATAATGCATTGCAGCAGAAATGATTTTGAAAAAGTTTTTGTCTTGAATTCAGTCAATAAAAAGCTTTGTATTCCCACATACAACAGTTAGTTGCATTATTTAAAACAAACTTAGTTGAGTGAGCACTAGATAGTACGTGAAAACGTGAAAAACTCCAGGATTTGATTAAACTTGACGAGTTCTGGTATTCTGGCTCGCACGTAGCATGTTAGTTGCATTATGATGCTATATCTCGACCTCGATACTGTATTTTGTCGATAACTTTTGTTATATTTTTTCTATTCAAGAAGTTCCTGTATTAGACTGAAATTTTGGTTGAAATAGTTTTCAGTTTAAATTTGAACAAACCTATATAGAAATTTGTGTTTAATTAACCCTAGCAAAATTATCAATTAGGCCTATCAATTGTGGGGGGGCTTCAGCCCTAAAGCCCTCTCTTGCTTACGTCCTGCTCATTAATTTTAACATTTTGTTTTAGCCCATAATTTTAATTTTTATTCTAAAATGATTTTCAATTAGTTATTCTTATACGTATTATAAGTATTATTAGTATATAATCTCATACATTTTATTTATGTATATTTTTATAAAATGTTTATGGTGGTAGTTTGAGGTTGAGGTGATACCAACGGTGGTTGTAATGAATAGGGTTTAGGGTTATGGACTAAATGTTAATTTGTGAGTTAATTAAATCAGTACTAAGTGTTGCTCTAATTGTACCAACCACAGTGGTGATATTGTGGGTTAGTTTAATCTAATGAACGAGTATCATATTGTAAAACAACCATAAACTTGGAATATAAAAAATACAATTTATTTGGATTTGCGTGTGTCAATAAAAACCCTGTATTAGTACTATAGTTATTTTATTTGTTACATGTAACAAATAAATATTTTTAGTTTTTATGCCCCATTTGACACCGTATAAATTTGCTCCGCCCCTATTTGGTTATTTTTGAGTATTATAAGCATGTACATAACATATATCCCCGATTATAAGTATATGGTTATTTTATACCCCACCTTTATAAGTATCAGCAATCAATAAGTTATGTTGATGCCGTTCTTGTTTCCAATGAAGTTTATAACGTAAGAATAAAACTTATTCTGACTGTATAACTGAGATATATGAAAAGAATATTATAAGTATAAAATACAATACGATGAATACGATAGTAACATATATACATAATAAATTAGGAATAGAGTAACATAAATAAAGGTTTACAATTCCAGTGTAAAATTTCGTACATACTTACACATTTGAATTTCAAGTCACTTTTAAACAAATATCAAAAGTTGTGATTATTTTTCAAAGTTTCTCTGTTTTTAAATTAAATTGAAGGTAATCTAGAAGTATATTTTTAATTCCAAAGGTTATAAACATAATTAATCATAATTAGAGAATTAACATTTCTATCCAAACATCGTTGCAAGCTAAAATATCTGGGATAATCTCTATAATATAATTTATAATATAATTTTAATCATACTTTTAATTAATTAATTAATACCTTCTTCTCTCAGGTTTAATTTAAAAGTTTAATTTAAAGACAACTTTAAATTTTAATTTTGCCACTTTGTTTAATTAACTTAATGGTAAAACGTGAGATCAGTACTCCTATGGTATCATCCATGTTTACAAATGCAATGTACTTTAATTGACTCTGCCTGTGTTGAATTGAAAATAATTTAATTAGATAAGTTTTTTAAATCATTACTTGTCAAATAGTTGAAATAGTGAACATTAAACAAAAAAAGTTGATTGTTGAAATAGTGAACATTAAATTAAAAAAATATGAGTAAATTTCTGTTTTGATAACAATCAATGGCTTATGGAG